TATATTATGGCTAAATCAAGTTAATTAGCATATGTACTACTCCAACAGACTTATTTCCTTATAGTGAAAACACTTAGGAACACACTCCTTAACTTTACAATTTAAAATATTTTTCAAAATAGCTTCTAAATTGTTAAAATACACTAAATTTAGTCCAAATGCAAGCATACTCTACCTTTTAAGCTCTTAATATCTAGTAAGAGTTTTTTTTTTTTTTGAGCTAGGGTCTGGCTCTGTCACCCAGGCTGGAGTACAGTGGCGTGATGTTAGCTCACTGCAACCTCCGCCTCCCAAGTTCAAGTGATTCTCCTGCCTCAGCCTCCTGAGTAGCTGGGATTACAGGTATGCGCCATCACACCTGGCTAATTTTTGTATTTTTAGTAGAGACAGGTTTCACCATGTTAGGCTGGTCTCGAACTCCTGACCTCGTGATCTGCCCACCTCGGCCTCCCAAAGTGCTAGGATAACAGGCATGAGCCACTGCGCCTGGCCAGAGTTTAAATTTTGTTTATGAGCTACTTTATTTCTGAGCTAAAACACTTCCCTACACTTTTACAGTAATTTAAGTTCTCCTGTAATAAAGTAGCTCATAAAGTTCACAAGTAAAATAAACTATTTCCTACACTGTTTCAAAATTACAACACTGGCTACTTTTAACAGATTTCTTTCAATCTCAAATAGCTGAATAACAACAAAATTATCTGACAATGATACAGGCTGAATATTACATTAACAAGCAAACCCTCCCATTGTATTTTGTTTCCTTCCACAGAGCATGTGCAACAGACAAGATAATGAATTTTTTACATGTATAAATAAGTTTCTCTAAAGATAGTTAACCTAATTCTAATTTAAGATCTTATTTCTTATGCTATCAATCATTGCACTAACCTGAGACAAAGATTTAAGTTTGAAATGGCTAAGTAGTAAATCAGGTTTTCCAAAAGGACTACTCCTTATTTCCTTTCAATCTTAGACACATAGCAGACACTTAAGATACTCTCACTGATTAGTCAATATATACAAATTCCGAAGATTTCTAAAAAGGTAACTAATGCCATTTCAACTCCCAGTGTTCCCTTTGTAAATTTACCAACGCAATTTGTTAATTTTGGGCCAACTTCCCTACTACCTCAAGCACATTCTATGCTATCCCTGGATACCTAAGTAAATTCTGCTGCAAACACTATATAATGCACCAAATATTTAGGGTGAGGAAGAATATCCAACTTGGCTAGCTTGTTCTGCTTACCAATCATTATACATATACCATTATTTCTCAACCCTTTAAATATCTTCTGCCTTCCTATCTTCCATTACACCGTTACATTCCTGGTTGAAAAAAACCACTATGTAGTCTACACATCCCCCAAGCGAAGCAAAAAGGTAAAGTCTAATTATTTAATACAGATTCCACAGTTTACTATAAATAACTGTATCCTTAGTAGACAATTCAGTCTATACTGCACAAGAGTGAATTCACTAAGAAAAATGTTCCCTTCTAAGCATTTGACAATTATATAACTTGCCAATGAAAACTATGTATTTTTAACTTCCTGTTAATGAAATATTCACACGAAGCAGAAAAGTATCCTCAAGGGATTGCTTCCAGGATACCACCTTCTCCCTGAGGAATACCCTCAGATGCTCAAGTCCCTTATAAAATATGGTGTCATATTTGCATGTAACCTACACACCACCTCCTATATACTTTAGATTACGTAAAATACCCAATACAATGTAAGTTATACAAAATAGTCATTATACTGTATTGTCTGTATTACTTTTGTTGTATATAGTTTTTTTTCCCCAAATATTTTCCATCTGAGGTTGGCTGAATTCAAGGATGCAAAATCCTTAGATAGAAAGGCCAACTGTGCGTAACAGAAGAGCAAAATGCTCCCAACTTGCATTCATTATGTTATCTTAGAACAAATCATCCAAAATGTCTTAAATATTCTTAGAGAAGCAAAAGTAACTTAAAGGTATAGCTGTTGGTTTCCTCAAAATACTTAAGTCTTGTATCCAGAAAGGGCCTTAAAAAAAAAAAAAAAAAAAAAAAAATCACCTGATTCAGCCAGGCCCACGTGGTGGCTTACACCTGTAATCTTAGCACTTTGGGAGGCTGAGGAAGAAGGATCACTTGAGCTCAGAAGTTG